TTCGACAATTTTTCCCACACAGAATTCATAGTTGTACACATCGTCTTCTCTGCTCTGAAAGCAGCATATACTAGTTTTTCATTCTCGAAATCGCACGTAAAATATATCTTCGGATACTCCATAAATGTTTACTTGTTCTAACGTTCCGCCATCTTGAATGCATTTTCTGCCAGGCAGAAACCACGCGGTCCGCCTTCCGTCGCTGTCCCTTCGCGCGTGTCCTTCAGCGAGAAAAATATTACGCACTTATATTTAGCAAAGTCACGTCCGTGGACGAGGATAGACATAACCACCCAATTATTCTCCCGAAGAAACACCACTATCGTCGATTATTCATACGAAATTTCCATGCCTTATCTGGACATTCAGGTATAGAGCACGTAAAACGGTTTGAGTTTGATGCAGCACTTCCTTGCGATAGTAACTTCTAGTTACTAGTTACACTCTTCCGGCCATAGCACAAAAGTATACAAAATTTGACAACTTCGCTTGGCTATATCTTCGCTACATTGCAATAATTCGCAGCCAAACTTGGCAATTTTACTAAGTTTTTGTATGCAATTTTCGGAATTTCTCGTTTTGTCGCCCAAATCAAAAGCTGGTCGAATTTTGTCCGCGCATCACAAATTGTATCCGATAAAAGGCGATAATATTAGAGATTCAAATGCTGTTACTTAACAAATAACGCTTTCCAAGAACTATTTCTAGTTATGGCTGAATCAATATATCAGAGTAATTTAAAGTTACAGTAATTGAGATTAGAATTTAGATACATACCGACTCTACAGCACAATGAAATAAACCGAGTATTCACAGTCTATACCAACTTGGGCACGATATATGATATCACACAGGGTACCATCTCGACCGTGGCAACATGTAGTTATGGATATATTCCAGGCAGATAAACAGATGTATCTGGTGACGGCTGTTGCATACTCGGGATGGCTTGAAGTTGATCATCTGCAAAACACCAAAGCAGTAATTGTAATCAAAAGATAAAAATGCATATTAGCAGGTATGGGATTCCGGATACGATGACGAGTGATAATTGTCCACAATTCAGCAACGAGCACTTTAAACGTTTACCACGTCATATAGAATCAACAACCATAAAACGAGTTCGCCGAGATGCCCACAGTGTAATGGCTATGCTTAGAGAGCGGTACAGGCTGCGAAAAAAATATTATGTCAGCAAGAATGAATGGCAAAGACCCTTACTTTCCGCTGTTAAATTATCGGAACATCCCACGTGATCAGGTATATATTAAGCAGCTCCGCCCGACGATTGATGGGAAGACGGACGAAAACACAGCTACCAACGAGTCAGCTATTGCTTAGTCCACAAGTTATTTATCCTAGGGATGTTACGAAACGTCTTCAATCTGCATTATCGTCAACAAAACAAGAAATATTACAACCGCACCGCCAATCCTCTTCCTCAATTAAGTAAGGGTGATATCATACGAGCAACAGACAGCAAAAGGAAATTCACCAGAAAAGGTTCGGGTGTTGTGCACGCCCTTTTATAGTAGAGAGCTTTAGATTTGACTACGGCTCCCGCTACGGCTACGAGATTCGTCACATTGACGTGATATTCGTGATACTTCGTAATGACGCCATAGACTCGTAGCCGTCGATCATCTGACTACGGCATTTTAAGAAAACTTCGTAGTCCTCACTACGTGATTTAAAAAGCAATAAAAGTTGACATTTTTTCTTTTTTTCCAGAAAATAATTTTAGATAACTCTTTTTCGTGACCGTGGCCTTTGATTATGTGTATTTTTCGAAATAGTAGGCGTAAAATTTCCGAAAGATTTGACTGGATAAACATGCATTTATTATTGTGTTTGAACATAGGCAGCCCAGACTTTGACTTGCGCGTGTGATACTCGCGCGCATGTCGCGCTTACGTTGTTTACTTCGTTTATATATTATGACAAGGTAGGAAAGAGTTTATCAAAATATGAAAGATATACCTTCGAAAATGTATGATTATCTAAAAAAATACTTGAAGAAACGCCACAAAAACTACAACCTAATAATTACCGATGATTAAACTACATTATCCTGCAGTTTCCATGTTTTTAAACAACATCTAAAGCCTTCAAATTAGCGAAATAAAACAGGAATTCATACGAAATTTTGAGAAAACTATCCGAGGGTCACTCTGCCTAAGGAAACGTCATCTTTTTTGAGATATTAACTAAACGCTCATTGGTTCTCATTGGTGGTTCTGCAGGTAAGCCAATGAGCGTTTAGTTAATATCTCAAAAAAGATGACGTTTCCTTAGGCAGAGTGACCCTCGGATAGTTTTCTCAAAATTCCGTATGAATTCCTGTTTTATTTCGCTAATTTGAAGGCTTTAGATGTTGTTTAAAAACATGGAAACTGCAGGATAATGAAGTTTAATCATCGGTAATTATTAGGTTGTAGTTTTTGTGGCTTTTCTTCAAGTATTTTTTTAGATAATCATACATTTACGAAGGTATATCTTTCATATTTTGATAAACTCTTTCCTACCTTGTCATAATATATAGACGAAGTAAACAACGTAAGCGCGACACGCGCGCGAGTATCACACGCGCAAGTCAAAGTCTGGGCAACCTATGGTTTGAAGTGGTTTATTATGCCAGTACGAGGTGGCGTATGCATACAACGTTTGTTTCGCGCCACAGTGACGAATCTCATAGCCGTAGCGGAAGTCGTAGTCAAAGCTCTCTAGTAACGGTTGAGCGACATCCGCTCACGTCATCAACATGAGTGGGCTGATCCTTATCCAGCCAATCAGCGTTGTGAGCGTGAACTAGAAGCTCGTTCCAGCTGTCATATGTTGTTGTTGCACTAGTCGAGTTAGTCTTTAACTGAATCAGTCAATACCTAAAAATGTTCACAACTTAAAATATTTATCATCAACAACTATTAAAATTTTCAAACATTGCGTCTGTGAACCATATTTTACAACTATATACTATTCTTTTAATCAAATTAAGCTTTCTCTGACGTAATGCTTAAAATGCTCGAATGCAGAGTATAAAACACAATTGATTGACATAGGAGCTTTGCAGGGGGCCTTTTAAACATGCACATTTTTTAAATGCAACAGTTAAACTTGGCAACGACATACGACTGTTGATCCAGATGCGCACGTACTGACACGGTAATTGAGGTTTTCACCTTACTACTTTATTTGACCCCACGAAATGCAATGCATGAAAGGAAAAGTTATTAATGATTGCGACTGACCGAAAAATCTTTGCGGCAAAAATTAATTATTTATCACGTCATTGCAGGTGATTTTTCCTATTTTACAATTATTTTTATTATGCATATAACCGAACAGAATTAAGCCTTCCGTAACACTGGCAACGGAAAAACAACACAGTTATCGTTTATATTACAATATCCACAGTCCGTCAGATATCCAATATCCACACTACACATTTGAGTGTGCATTCTACACTACATCGAACGCATCTCGGCAGCTATACAGGCCCTATAAAACTACGGTGGCTTCGATTTACTTGGTGCATGTCTCCCGCTTTAAAGTTTCTGTGAGATACGTGCGTCTACGACGATAAAGGTAAGTGCTGGATGGAAATATTCCAGCCCAGATTCTGCAATGTGCCGATACTTAATAGTTAACATTCACCGAAAGCGTTAAACGAACGCAAAGTCTCATTACTGAACGAAACAATCGTTATAATACAGTTTCCCATTGGCTAACAGCGCTGAATCCGTAGAATATAGCAAGCTCTTATTGAACAAAGTTAACGTTTGATAACGTTGGCTTAATTTATTCGTACCAAAGTCGCCAGCTTCGAGAACTGAACCCTTATTTGCTTACCTACGGAACGCGAACAAGGAATTTGCTTGCATAATTATATGTTATAACTCTGGACCTGTGGCATGTCACAAATTTTATATTTCACAACTGGGGGAAACGGTATGTAGCTTACTGACTAACTTTCTAAAATCGTCGTGCATGTATAGCTCTGTCAGAGCTCCAAATGTTTCCCAGTTTTAAATCAATGTACTTGCTTGAATATGTTACGAAAATATTTCTATTCCCGAAAGTACTGAATATTTTCGAATTTTTAAATCTGATCGTGCATCAAATGATATTACTAGGCTGTACGTGTAGCGATAACAAATCGATATCTCACTGGGGAGTAGATAACCCCCCCATATAGCTACCAAAGAGTGCTGACATAATAAGTTCGCGTGAACAGAAATCACGATTCGCGTGGACAAAGACCATGCAGTTGCACGTGGACATGGGTCATTGATCATGTGAACAAAGAAGTCATGATTCACGTACACACGTAAAAATATCACATCTTGTTGACAACTTGTTGGCTCAACAAGCTTGTAGCAAGCTTGTTGACAAGTTGTAACAAGCTTGTTGAGACAACAGGTTGTAGCAAGCTTGTTGACATCAAGCTTGCTACAACTTGTTGGCTTGCAGACTTGTAGCAAGTTGTTGGAACAACTTGTACCAAGCTTGTCGACAACAAGCTGTACCAAGCTTGTTGGAGCAACTTGTTGACAAGTTGTTATAGTCATCAAGTTGTAACAAGCCTGTCACAACAAGCTTGTAGCAAGCTGATTTGAGCAAGTCTGTTTTAACTTGTCTGAACAAACTTGTACCGCCACTGCATGTTGACATCCGCGACAATTTGAAACTGTTTTTTTACTAACATCTTATTATTGAGACTATAATTGTTCATAATTATCTTTTTTAGACAGGGAATATTGGTATGATGGTGCTCACTGTATGTGAACTGTGCAATCTGAAAGGATCAAAGTACAATTCTTAATGAAAAGACATTGAAAATTATAATAAACAAAAAAGCATAGCAAATGCATAATGTTCATTATGTTGTTATATCTATAATTAAGGCAATTGAGGCAAATCATCCCCATTTGAAGAGAAAAAACTTTTTCAACTATTCACTTAATTATTATTTCTTTATAGTAATTTGTGATAATTAAAAAAGATAAATTAGCCTTGTTACACCAACAATTTATGCTATTTAGGTGGCTTGATAAACTTAAAAAAGTGCTTCAAGTGCTTCCTTTTCATTCCTTGCACAGTGTTACTTGAAAAGTGTCACTAATTACAAATGTTTATACACTGTGGATTTATTTCATAATTCAATTTTTTGGAAACAATCAAAACACCATCAAAACAGTTATAAATGGTTTTTGAAAAGTAATTAATATGAAAGTTAATATGTAACAAGTTCTTAATTAATTTTGATATGAAGCCATATCCTCCTTTCGTAACTTAAACTTGTCCTCCTGGCTTAGTCCAGTAGGCCAATTGGATGTTTTCCACTGGTAATATGCCCCCCAGAAATCTTTCGCTTTTCTTGCGCCTTCAAGGCCAGTTTCTCTTATAAACTTTCGCTATAAAACAAGAAATAAATAGAAAAGGAAAGTTTGATTTGTGGAATACATGTATTACCCAGTAAAAGTATGTAGGTAAGAATTTTATTATGAAATATGTACCGTGATGATAATTTCATCTTCCAACAATGCACGATGACAGCCATTGCTGTGCTTTTGGCCAATAAGTTGCAATATTTTTGCAGTAACTTGTTCGGTTGGTGCATTGATGAGCATGTCATAACCGGCAATTCCTAGAAGCTGAATAAAATTCAAAATTTGGCATCAATATTATACAAATTATTAAACACCTTTTCACATTCATTGTGTAGAGATGCCTACACAACTTAGACAATTGGCCATTCAATCTGTTCAGTGTTCATGTGTATGGTTTGTTTACATTACATTATGTCTCAAACAACATTTATCTAATGGTGGCATTATAACTTGTCAAATGTGAATTGGGAAGTACAGCATATTAACTTTCTTTAGACTTAAGTGTTTAAAATTATAAATTTAAACAACAAGCTATGGTAGCCTGTATGCCTCAAAGGAGCACAATCGGTAGTTAATCAATCAGTACTAACTCTCCTGACAAAGCTAGGCACTTAGTCTTTGGTCGAAACATTGGTAAGCTTTCATATCTAAGTTAGGCTGTTAAAGAACCAATTGTGCTCCATTTAGATATATCAAGACACTGCCCTTAACAGCATGCTGCAACCTGGTTATATTGCATGTGCTTAATGCTTTAAGGGTTAATAAATGCAGTTTCCATACAAAGTTCATATAACATACCCTTCTTCTTTCTTCGCTCCTCCAATAGGATAACTTGGCACTCTCAAATTTTTTGTATCGAAGTCCAAGTTCCTGAAGGGACAGGCCAGTTGGCGAATTGGTAAACTCCAACTTTAAAGCTCTCTATATATTGAACAAAATAACATGAATTACATGTTTCTGCATTAATATAATGTTACACTATGAATTGTGTTGTACTGTTTTATAATTTTAAAATTAATTATGGGGATATTTAAGACATATTGTTGGCTATTAAATCACTTAGCTAACCTCTTTCTCGGGAGTGTCCAAGGAAAATCTTCCTTTTGTGGTGTAAAATTTACCAAGCAATTGAATAAGGTTCTCCTATATGAAGTCGTTTTAATTGCATTAGACAGTCAACTCTTGTGCAAAAGAAAAGGAAATACAGTAAAATATTTCAAAGCTATGATAGATGTTGAAGTCATTAAATATAAACGAAAGCAAAAAATTTACCGTGTGACAACATTTGCCCATGTCAAAGGTATCTGCCTCCACATTTTTTCTCAATTTCTTTATCAAGGATAATAGCTCTTGCTGGTTTTCCGCTAAACTCGCAATTGATCGCTTTACGCTTGTCACATCGCTTTGCAACTTCTGTATCTTCTCCGAAATTCCATCCAATTTTGCTGCATCTAAAATAAAAAAACAGGACATTAAATAGCAAAAGTATAAAAAACATGCAAAAACACACAAACATTTGTAACGAAAGATGACAAAATTATATTCGAAGTATATGTGTATTTGAATATAGGTAATAAATTTGAAGCAAACGCTGAACCACAAAGAAGCGGTAACATTTTTCGGACAGTCATACCACGACCATTTTGAATTTAAAAACTCATCAAAAACCGGAAGAGAAATTGTCTAATTTGCATTTACTTCGCCATGGGGGCGGTGCCAAAGTTAAATGAAATGCAATTTTACTAAACAAAGGAACAAAGGAACAAAGGAAAAAGCAAAAATTAAAGAATTATTTATTTTACCTAGCGAGCTTGACGAAGCTCTTGAAGTTATCGTCGTAGTTTCTCGAAATGTCCGCCCTAAATAATTTTATGTACGATATAATTTTATGTATATATGGTAATCTTCACTAAAAATAACAACAAAACAGTCACCTTCAGGACGGGGAAAGCTTGGCTGCCGAGGCACTGGCCGAGGTCTGCTAACTCTCGAGCCTGTTTGCGATGATTGCCTTGGCGAAGGTGTACAAACAAAGGCACTGCAAATGTAATGAAAAGCTTTTGAAATTAAAATTTATACAAGCCTGCACATAAAGCGGGAATTTACTTACTTTGGGTCTTGTGTTTCGTCATCATCAGAGACTGAAGAAAAAGGGTCGAGATGAGAAGCGCGATTCATTTTTTACCGCAACCAAATATTTTTTCTGCTCTGCGTGAAACCCCAAAACAACTGAAAGGCCAAAACACTCGCGCAACGCAGAGACGATCTCCAAAAACGATCCAATCCGACATTTCCCTAATAAGGAGGCAAAAGATGAAAATCAACCAATAGGAAAAAAATAAAGCAAAGTCAAATTCAAAAATAATAACGATATTGAATGCTCTCACGAAGGAGAGGCGTTGTTATGTCTTACAGTTTTCAGAAAAAATGAAGAGAAAAAGGGCGGCTGTAACTTTATGTATTGATTGTGGCGTTGATTTTGAGTCTTTTAGTGGTGCTCAGAGGCATTTTTCATCCCGAAATCATCTGCAACAGTTGCTGGCCAGACGAAACTTGCGCTCCGTGAGCGTTGAAGATGATGCGGACAATGTGAGAATCTCTGCCGATGGGGAAGACGAATTGAGGAGTTATGTAGAAGAGGAACAGGCAGAACGAGAAGAAGAAGCGGAAGATGATGAAGAAGAAGCCGAAGATGATGAAGGAGAAGCGGAAGATGATGATGAAGATGATGATGAAGAAGAGGTTAACAACTCAGATCTTGGTGATTTACTTGAAGCGGTTGGAGGTGTGGATGACGACAATGGCCAGGACTTTTATCCATTTCCGGATGAGAAGTTCTTCCTACTTTACTGCTACGCACACAGTATAATGAGACCAAAGGTAGGAATCGACTGTTCAGGTAACATTTATTTATCCATTTGGCTACAGTCAAAATGATTTAATGATTGTCCCAATAATAACCAAATAACATGTTTACTATCATAGTCTTGACTGTTAACATAGTTTTGACAACCCAAAATTAAGACCCTGCATGGATACTATCGACATGCCTACATGTTCCGCCGGTTGGAAGCCGGTGGTGCTTTTTCAAATAATATGCACATGTATTGCCGATGCTAATACTTTTTTTTACAATAAATATAGTCAAGATCAGACCTAGAATTTCTGTGGATGATGTTGGCTCGTTTTGGAGTGCAGCTTCCATCGCTATCATCTGTTTTAGCGTTTAAATTACCAGGGCTTGAAAACTCTGTTGCATTAAGAAAGGTTTGTTTCGATCTTAACTGATTTTAACCGTTTAAAAAACGAAAATAAGATATGTTCAACTACATAATTATAGAGCTACGGAAAAGGACACCCCTTTTACTGGTTACCACCTTCGGACATCATAAAACTACAGATAGCGACACCATCAGTTGCAAACAAGCTGATGAGATATCCGGAGCACACAGATCGCTTTATCAAGGAATTGTACCAAGTGAGTGAACAATATGTTCTTACTTTCTCACATGTCCATACTTTCATGTTTTTAAAGCTTTATTGATGTTCTTGGGTTTAATGTCAACTCGAAATCTAGACACATTAATCGAAGTGACTTAATTGTCACTGTATGTGTTGGCTTTGCGCTTCATATCATTTGCATGCTTAATCCTGTGCAGCAGATGCGTAAAAACATTTGAGGTTGACCCCCACTCAATGATATCTACGAATACCTCAAATTTAAATAAAATATATGTTCACCAACAGGGACAAAAATGGCGCATAGAAAATCAATTCCACACAACGTCAGCAACAATTCACGAAAGCACTTTCTATGTAAAAGATACAGTTGTGTACGAGATTAGGGAGACAATATCATATGGCAGAATAAACGGTTTTTTTATGAAGGTTAAGCCTCAATCGTTTTTTTGAACCCCACCTCAATTAAGCGTTATAGCTACGGTTCTGAATTATTTTAAAAAATAACTATTTATTGCTTATTAGAAGAGTGAAGATTCCTTGAAATGTTACTGCGAAGTGACCAAGGCTAATTTTATACCAAATATGTATTTGGCGATAACGAATGAACTAGAGGAGGTTCCGTTGGAGAATATTCGATCATTGGCTCCATATCACATATGTTTTAAGAAAATCAACGGACAAAATATACAACTTACTGATGAGGTAAAAAAATTCATACTTGATCTTAGGAAAGTTTTCACACTTTATTATGGGAAATTAACGATATACCTCAATAACACGATGTTAATTCACATTAATTTGCAGCGTTACATAAAATCTAACCAACCATCAAAACTGTGGTTGATTACAGGTCATTGTAGGATGTATAGGAGATATCTTAGACGTTATTGCCTAAATCTTAAACCTACATATATCCGATCGGAATACCGGGTTTCCTACAGTTTTATATGTTTATAATATTGTGATATTTTTACAAGGAAATCAACGAAATAGAAAGTCCTCATCCGAGCAAAATAGCGGCTGATGGAAATCCCACTCAGACTGTGCCACTCGTGATCTTCTCCGACGAGACAAGTGGAAACAGGAGCAAAAAATGGAACCAGTTGGAGACATATTCCATGTTCCTTGCAGGCCTACCAAGAAAAGAAGTCACCAAGTTTAGTAACATCCACTTTATTTGTGCGTCTAACTTGGTAGACTCGATATCACTGGGAAAGGAAATTGCAACAGATTTAAAGGGTATACGCATCTATTGCCAAGCAAATATAAACCACTAAATTTAAGTGCCATACTTATATTGACATTGTTAGTTTTTTTCAGCTTTAGAACAAGGAATGTTAATGTACGACGCATCTAATGATTGCCAAGTATTCGTTCAGTGTCCAGTACTGATCGTAGCCTGCGACAACCCAAGGGCTTCTGAATTTGCACACCACATGGGAAGCTCTGCTAAACATTTCTGTCGGATTTGCGATGTAGGTTTAACTTACAATATCCTTATAATTAAAAATTTTTGAACAAATCATTATTGTCGCTAAAGTTTCGATCACCTCCCGACAGGCAACAGCAGAAATAGCAGCGGAAGTTGGCACTTTGAGAACATCAGACGACATAGAAAGAACAATTGAAAGGATAAGTAGAGCGAAGTAAGTAAAACAGCCTTGACTATATATTCAGCTAATTTTTTATTCTAAAAACGTAAACCTAAAAATCTGACACTGAAAAGCACTCATTAGTTTACTTGTAATCAGTAAAAATTGGTATAGCAATGCCAATTAGAGTTTAAGAGTCCAAGTAAGTAATAACCCAACATCCTATGCACGTTCAAAGTTTTTAATATATTTGTCTAGTTCATATCGTAAAACCTAGCTGACTTCTTTATTTTGATGCGAGGTACTTTGTTTCAAAAAATCCACTTAACAGCACCGAAAATGAGAAAACGGCCATGCGAAAGGAAACAGGGACCACGGAGCGAGGAGGACAGTTGGATATGCTATCGTGCTATCATTCCACCCAGTACGTTGTAGTCATTATTACTGTACCACCATGTGTACGAGGTTGGGGGGGGGGAAAGACAGATACGAGACGCTAGAAATAACATTTTATCCATACACATTTTACAAATGTAAGAAATAAAGCCATTTTTATTGACAGGCAGACACCCGTAGAAGTTCTGCATACTATCCTTCTTGGTCCCGTTAAATACCTTGTCAGGTCAGATGTTGTAAAATTGGCGTAAGGGGTCTACTATTATAGTAGATAATTGGAAAGCCTTTTATAAGCTTGAATGACTATGACGATTGAAATAAAATTTTTGACAGAAAATTAAATCCTTTTTAGGAAAACGATGAAGAGCTTACCTGCAGCTGAAAAGAAAAAGATCAAGGCAAAGATTGAAGCATTCGACTTTTCGGCGTTTTCTAGACGTTTACCAAGCAGTTTTGTAAAGAACTATGGTTCGTGTGTTGGCCGGGACTTCAAACTTTGGGCTCAGGTTTCAGTGTTTATTCTTGATGGGATAATCTCAGATGATCAACTTCAAGTTTGGTTCTATCTTAGCAATGTAAGAATAAACAAATTATGATATGCACAGGCCTTCATTGAGAACTCAAAGCACAGGGACCTGTAATATATAATTGAGCTTAGGAATCTGTTCAAAATGTACCCCTAAAGTTATATTGCATACCTTTTTGCCTCAATATAAAGCTAGTTTTTCATAATACTGTAGGCATTTGCAATGGCATATGGATCAGAGGTTGATTTGGACGACAACGAAAACATTACCAATCTCATTCGCCAAATGATTGATTGCTTGAGTGAAGTCCATCCTGAGTTGCTACGAAAACAAAAGTTCCACATGTTACTTCACTTACAAGATGACATGTTGAACTTTGGCCCTCCAGTTGGCTTCTGCACAGAAAGGTATTACCGGAAATCATTTTCTAAAAATTCAGAAATATGTTTTTTTTATTAATTGACTTATTTTATTAATTGATATATATATATATATATATATATATATATATATATATATATATATATATATATATATATATATATATATATATATATATATATATATATATTCTATTTATAAGAGTTTGGTGTCTTTTCAGGTTTGAGTCATTCAATTCTATCATCAGACAGCTTAACATCTATTCAAACCGCCATGCAAGCAGCAAGGATATCTGTGAGAAGTTTGCAAAACACCATGTCCTCAAGTTCTTGATCAATGGAGGATTTTGGGGGACTAACAACACGTAATTAAAATGTTACTGTTTGACAAATCAATAAGCAATATATGAATAACTAAAATACTATAACCTTTTAATCTAATTCTATTGTAACTGACAATTAACTGATCATGTAAACTGGCCATTTAGATTGACGGCAGGACAGGGGCTGGTCAAAGTTTCACAGCAACCAGTTTTTCAAAAATTTATGTACTCAGTTGATGCCAAATGCAGTCAATCCCAAAAGGAAATCTACCAACCAGGAAGCCTCAGGCTGGTAAGTAATAAACATAGCACAATTGTTTATGGTATATACTGTTATCCAAATCCTTCTTTAACTTTGTCTAATTCCAGATTATTCCAAGATTAACAATGTTTTAACGTTGAGTACAAAACTTAAATAAGTTCTCTCAATTCAAGGGAGTGTATGAAAACGGTAGACTAAAAGAAGTTGCAACAAGTGATATCGTGCCACAAGACATGTTACAAGATTTAGCAATTGACGTGAGTCCAAAGTGTAAGAACTTTAAAGGGTGCATTGGCAAAGATGGGTCTTTAATTCAAACTGGAGACACTTTTGTATATGAAAAAGGTGATAATGAGGTATAGAAACACAATTGACTATTGTTTTATGCATGTACATCATTATTTGGTAATTAATAAAAGTCAATAGCAACAATTTACTTCTAATGCCAAATTTAATCCTTGACTGTGCTCTAATCAGTAATCAAAACTGCCAGTGACTCCTGTGCAACTAATTAAGATGTAATGAGATCAAACCCTTGTTATTGTTAGAATATATTACTCTTTGAGTAATATATGTTTTTATTAAACATTTCAGGCTGGCATTGGAAAGTTTTGTACCGCAGTACAATTGCTTGGTGAAAACAAAGTTAATCTCGTACTCACCACACCGCTGGATCTAGTCCTTACCGATGATGGCAATGTACTACATGGAAAATTTATATCTCCTGTTTTGGAAGAAAGTGATAGCAAAGAACTGGTAGATGCTGTGACCATTCTCGAGAAAGTGAGTCTCGCTCATTATTGTGACGATGATTGTACCTTTGTGAATGGAGACCATCCAGTTCTTGAAGAAAGAGAGACCATCGCATCAGAAAGGCTAACATACAAGCATGACTTTTCCAATAAAAGGTATCTGCTCAATAAGTTCTACTTGGGAGAATCATGGAAGTACATTCCTGACTGAAAAATAATTCAGAAAAAAGAAACAGTACCTTTTGGAATTAGTTTGGTTTCTGTATCAACATGTATACACAAGGTGTCTTAAAAAAATACACCTTGTTCATTAAATAGAAATTCATATGTATTCAAGCTATTAATACCACCAAGCAAGTCCGATCCCTAAGAGGGGCAAACTCAGTGACATTTTCAATTTTATGGTGTCAACAGTCCCTGGCCCCTGATTTATAGAAAATTTCATAAAATGTCAAATAGTTCGACCCTGGAAAGTTAAGTTCATGTCGAATAAAAGCAATTTCCTGACCCTGGAACAGAAAGCCAAGGTCCCCGTGTATGTCCCCCTCGGATCAGGCTTAAGATTGATTGGTGCATATTGGCTCATTCGCGATATATTTTATTTGTATCGAGCGAGATGTCCAAAATTATAATTGTATATTTCAAGAATTTTTTGTTCTATAAATCTTACTTTATCAATTTAATATTGTAGATAACTGTATATGCTTGTAGATAACCAAATGAATATGTAGATTACTATACATATTGTTTATATTTATACGTATAAAAGCAAAAGCCTTACAAAGGCTACAAACAACATTGTTGTTCTTTTTATTCCCCCCCCCTGGAAATGAAGTGCTCCCCGCGAGAATTTTGCGAGATTTGCGTGGGATCGCGAAATTCGCCATTTGTGACAAGATTGTCGAAACAAGTTTGTAACAACATTGATATAACAAGCTTGGTACAAATCGAGTGCAACAAGTTTGTAGCAAGCTTGTCAACAAGCTTGTAACAAGCTTGGTGGCAACAACCTTGTTACGGCATTGTCACAACAACCCTGTTACAGGTCTGTCAACAACTTGCTACAAGTCCGTCACAACAAGCTCGTGACAAGCAGTGCGAACACAACCTGATATCGGCTTGTTGGAACAAGCTTGCGACAAGCTTGCTGCAGGCTTGTTACAACTTGTGCGTTTTTACGCGTGTAGACAATGACCATGAGGTACATGTGAACAGGGATCATAGACTCCACGCGTAAAAATTTCATATCTTGTAGCAAGTTGTTCACAAACTTGTAACAAGATTTGTTCGCACTGCTTGTCCCAAGCTGTTGACGAGATGGGACAACTTGTTAACAAGTTGTAACAAACTTGTTGAATCAAAAGATTTGCTGCAAGGCTGTTTCAACAAGTCTGGACAAACATGATGCGACAATATTGCTACAATCCTTTTCTGTCAAGTTCGTCCAGTGTTTTTGTATCATATCTGATAAGACTTTTCAGAACAATCTTGTAACGAGTCTGATAGTTCCATCGGACTTGCTACAAGTTGTTAACCACTTGTCCCAAACTTGTTACAAGAAAGTGGAGCAAGCGGTGCGAATAAATCTTTTTGCAATCTTGTGTGCTGCGGACTTTTTACAAGATTTTACGCGTGTATGTGGGAGGGAGATTTTCCATCACGTGAATAGGGATCATTGAACATGTGTACAACAGGATGCATTTAGAGTGTAAATGAGATCATTTACAAGTATTTTAATATGTTATAAAATTTAAAAGATACGGCAATTTTTTATTCTTACATTGAATATTTTAATTAACAAATTTCTTCTGCTTTTGTCTCGTTCAAGGAGATCTACCAGCCAACAATTATTTTATCATTTTAATATGGTATAAAATGTTTCTTTAAAAACGACTATTCTTATATGGAATATTTCCGTTCACAAATACAAAAAATATAGTCCATGAAATACTCTAAACATTTTGCTAAATTAGTTCATTTCTGCAAAGTCCTAGAGTATACGGTAATCAACCGCAAGTGTGGCATCGCCGGCGAATATTTGTTCAAATTCTGTTTTGTGGGTTTGCGGTACTTTAGCACATCATAATACGCTTCCCAAACTGCTTACCAAACCTTTGTTTTGTTTTCCTCTGCTTTTGCCTCATTTACGCAGATCCACCAACCAAGCGATCTGAGTTCCTTCTGCTGATTTTGTTCAATTTTAATTTCCTCTGTATGAACTTTATTATAATGTTTGCCATAATTTGATCGCTGGCTAAAGTTTTCACTGTTTTTTAATCAGCACCGTACATTTGTTTTAATGAATGAGTCATTTTAGCATGATAAATTGGTGCTTAAGAAATGTAAATGAAGGGATTTCGCACGGTTGAGCACATCAAGTCAGATCCTGTTTACGTTGTACCCGATTTGCATGGTCACGATATCAGTTTTAGTTGTTTTTCCGTATATCTGTCCCCCAGAACGTTTTTCATTTTTCAGATCATGATAAAGTAATCATGCTACCAAACGTTTCGAGGTGAAACTCCCGTTGACATGATTAATTTTGATGTCGTGACCATGCGAATCGGGACTATGAGGCCACTTTGGGGATGTAAATGAGGGGCTAGCAAAATTATATGAATGGAGATTGGAGAGAGCACGTTGTGGATGTAAATGAGGAGCATGCGAAATTAGACACACGTGGGTATGCTAAACAGGAATGTGAGACGACATGAACAGAGTGTGCAAGTGATGAGATCAACACGTCGTCCAAGCAAATGAATAATCCTTGAAAGTAATATGGGTTAAAATTTTGTGGAATGAGCCGATGAGCACATGCGCATAACTGCTCATTATTGCTCGTAACTGCTCATAAGTGCTCATGAAACATGCTCAACTGCTTGTAGATATTTTTAATACCAAACTATTAAGTAGTATTAATATTAGATTTGGATAGATTTTGGAGGCAAAATGAGTTGCAATTTGGCGCAATGAGCGTATGAGCATGTGCTCATATCTGCTCATAGCTACTCATAGCCGCTGATATCTGCTCATAGCTGCTCATAGCGGCTCATAGCTGTTCATAGCTGCTCATAGCTGCTCATAGCTGCTCATAGCTGCTCATAGTTGCTCAATCTGCTTGATCGAAATAACAAAGACAATCATTGGAATAACGATTTTAACATTTATTTGTCTGTTATAATCATTTCTTAACTCTGAATCCTTTTTTATCGTTTTTTGTTCGTTTTCCATGGTTTCTTTACAAGAATGGTTTAGTAAATCATTGTTTTTAATCATCATCGCTCTCTTTATTTTCCTCTTTATTTTCAATCTGGTGATTGTTTAAAAGCCTTTTAATAAGAAACTTCCTCTTATCGACAGCAGCTTTTGTTGCTTCTTCTGGATCAAAATCGTCATTCTCAACAAACGCATCTTTTGTGTGCATTATTTTCTTATGCACTGGCTCTTTCTTTAGTTGTCTCATCCACCGAAGGCGTCCCAAATAAATATTTTCCAATTCTTTCTAGAGTATAGGCATAATATTCGAGTAAGCTTTCTCATTATCAGATTGCCCCTCCAGACCAGTGTTTATAAGGCTTTCTTTCATTTCTTCAAAATCAGTATTACTTCTTAGCTTTGTTTCTTCTATTAGACTTATTCATGGATCCATTTTTTCTTTATTTTCTGAGTCAGTCGTTTTCGAACTTTCAGACTTGAGCAGCTATGAGTAGCTATGAGCGGCTATGGGCAGCTATGACCAGCTATGAGCAGCTATGAGCAGCTATGAGCAGCTATGAGCAGCTATGAGCAGCTATGAGCAGCTATGAGCAGCTATGAGCAGCTATGAGCAGCTATGAGCAGCTATGAGCAGCTATGAGCAGCTATGAGCAGCTATGAGCAGCTAGGAGCATGTGCCCACGAGCAGTTATGAGCGGTTATGAGCACATGCTCATACGCTCATTGCGCCAAATTGCAACCCATTTTGCCTTCAAAATCTACCCAAATCTAATATTAATACTACCTAATAGTTTGGTATTAAAAATGTCTACGAGCAGTTGAGCATGTTCTCATGAGCAGTTATGAGCAGTAACGAGCAATTATGAGCAGTTATGCGCATGTGCTCATCGGCTCATTCCACAAAATTGTAACCCATATTGCTTTCAAAGATTATTCATTTGCGTGACGACGTGTTAATCTCATCACTTGCACACTCTGTTCATGTCGTCTCACATTCCTCTTTAGCATACCCACGTGTGTCTAATTTCGCATGCTCCTCATTTACATCCACAACGTGCTCTCTCCATGCAATCTCCATGCATATCATTTTGCTAGCCCCTCATTTACATCCCCAAAGTGGCCTCATAGTCCCAATTTGCATGGTCACGACATCAAAATTAATCATGTTAACGGATATCTACATATCTATCAATTATAGTTATTATGATATGGCCTTCCATGTTACCTTGATTGCCCCACTTGCCATGGTATAAAGTAGAAAAACAGCTTTTTGATAGCCATCTTTAATCATTATTATACTGCATAGAAAACAGAAGGGAATAGCCTATCTTTACTTCAATCGAAATTACAACAATTTTTTTGTTATCCATATATTCTATAGAACTATAACATGAGCGTCGTTATAGCCCGATCATTGGCTTTGCGATTTACAGCTGTAAATCCTTGTTGTGTCAGAGTTATCCCATGTGAAGTTGCCCAGCAGAAGAATCCCTTAACTATGTATATATACCTGAATACTGATGGCAAAGGAATTCCTGAAGATCTCCGAGAATTCGCGGGGAAATATTTTTATGGTTATAAAATTGAGTTTGTTGACCTTCAGCGGCGGCCACTTTGTAAAATTGTAACTCAGCTTCCCGCAAGAGAAAAAAGATGCGATAAAAAGCTGAGGGAATTAGGAAAAGTAATTGAAAAGAATCTCCACGTCTTTCAAAATAGATTAAACGTCACAGCCGTTCAAGCAACGTACAAAGTTGAAGGTTCAATCGTTAAAAATATTCCTTGTATCACCGTGTATGTTTTAGGAAAAGGAAAAATTCCTGCAGGGGAAACTGACATTTCAGAGATGCCTGAACTGAATAGCTATCCCTTGGATATTGTCGAAGGATATTTTCAACTATGTGGCGATCCAAAATCGCACACATTTCCTTTGCGAGGTGGGGTCGGAATTGGAGTTGAAGGCGATGAAGCAACTGTTGGAACACTCGGCGCTTTTTTAGAAGATGAAGACGGCAGACGCTATATCCTCTCATGTCAGCACGTGCTTTGTCCAAACAGCGTAATAAACAGCGACAACCGAAGACAAGTAATTGTTCAACCTGCTCAAATGGATCACCGAAACGCGATTTCAAAGATTGTGGCTGAAATAAACGAATGCAATGAACATTTGCAAAAGCAAGAAACGAAACTCCGTATGGTTGCGCATGATGAAAGGGATCGTTATAAAAAACGTGTGGAAAAAAGCATGGAAAAATTAGTAACTCTGAAAAATAATATAAATGAAGTCATGAAATCCCCACCAAGGGCAATTGGAAATTACTGCAATGGTTTAAAACAAAACGTAACGGACTCATATCGTAGTGAGCCGAATGCCAAATTTTACGTTGATGCAGCAATTGCCGAACTAGATGACGAAGAAGCTCAGGAACTTATTGACAACAAAGATGAACAACCTGAAAATATTCGATGCTCTTTGTTCGGTTTTGAAAAGAATATTCATACGGGGTTCAACCCTACAGGAGAAATTGTTGATGTGGAAAATT